CAGGAATGTATTAATTTTGTGCTTCCTTGTTTAAAAACATCAGCTGTTCAAGAACAGGATTGACTTCTTTTTGTTCAGAAGGCCATTTATGCGTTCTAAGTCTTTGAAATCAGAACTAGTCCAGCACTAACCAGATGGTTGTGTCCAATGTTATTTGGAACGGTTTTTAAATTAACAGGATCAGCTGTGTATTCAGAAAACTGAGGGTATGGAGGTCATAAGTCTTCAGTTCCTAATGTTGCCAACTTACTGGCCTGATCCTGAGCAGCACTGAACTACCTCTTGCTTGCCTTGAGACCAGGGGCTAGAAGCAGAGGGAGTCTTGAATAATCAGCACTTCCCAGGATCAGATTTTCCACTCTGCTTGTTCATCCGTCCTGTGCAGTTGATTAAGGTGGTTGGATTTCGACATTAGACATGCTGTTGCACTGAAATCTACTTTTTTTTAATGGCGGTCCCCATTTCCCTGTTTAATCGCTCTGTACACAAGGTATACAAGGTATATGCTGTATAAGTGGCCTTCTTGAACAAATCTTTGCAAACTGATTTCATCCCAGCGAAGGAGTGTATCAGCAACACTGTACATTAATTTCAGGTTTTCATTTTCTTATTTTATTTTGTAAATATATCCGATATTTGGAGCTTGAGTATACAAAATGTAAATATAGTTCATGTATTTGTACTAATTCTGATCCATTTGCTGTATAGCCTTAGGTGTGCAATGCAGATATCTAACTGTGTATGGTAACCTTGCACCACTGAATTGTTAGTGAACGAGGTGAAACAATAAAGGTACAACCAGTGCATTAGCAGATACAATGTGTGCTCCTTTTATTATGGGTTAATTACTGGTATCTTATATTGATTACTTGTTTTCAAAACCTGTCCTGAGCAAGTGATGCTTTTGTAAAAGGAAGTTTGATTTGGCTGTTCTTGAGAAAGATGAGAGGCCCTTCTTACTCTTCCTCGTCTGTTTCCCTTTGGTATGTTGGGCAGCATTTCTAAGCAGTTTTTGGACGCTTTCAAACGATTCTTTGGCTTGAAAGATGCAATAGGAGCGTCATGGTGCTGCCAATACCGAACTTGCTTATCTGGGGGTGACTGTTAAAAAAGACAGGAAGTGTGTGAAATGAAACTACCAAAACATGACAGCACAGTATAGGGCACCAGCCCTGCGGGCAAAGATGTGTCAGGGAATCCCTGTGAATTGTTCTTATCTTGGTCTGAAAGTGGAAAGTTCTTTGTAGCTTTTAAAAGTCATGGCGAGGAAGCTGGACAGAGCATTCCCAAAGCATTTAAGTCCCATAAAAATGGGACACCACTTGCTGTCAGAGACCTCTCATTAACCATAAACCATCTGCACGATGGCAAAAGACTTGTAGCAGGCTGCTGGCTAGATCTGTCTTTACCTGAAAAGCTGTCATGGGTG